TCTGAACTGTACCCGAAAGACGGTAACTTTTTGGGCCAACACCTTTGGTCTCACCACTAAACAAAAATTTGCTGATGGTGGTTATCTACGTACGGTAAAGTAAAACAAAGTCTAGTTCTAGTCGCGTATATTGATATATTCGTCTGTGTTATTTTACTGTTATCCTTTTTGGTTATCTGTATGCATGAGTGCTGTTGGTGTGTATGTTGTTTGTGCAGGTGTTATTTGCATTTTTGGAGCACGACAATAAAGTTATTTTGGCACATGCTCTTTGTCTTGTTTTGGTTGCATCGGAAATCTATCAATATATCCCAGCAACATCTACAAACAATACAAATCTGTGAACAGAGAACAAAACACTGGAAATTGAAGGAGGAGTAAGCATTCCTTGTCGCTTGGTCACACCCGCCGTAAGCCCCATGTATTAATCAGGTAAACAGAATATTCCCTAGTAAAATTTAGTATAAAACAAAGGCCTAACAATTGGAAAAAATACATCAGTTAAAATTCGACCAATTGGTAGGTTTTATTTGCTATCAAGGTCATTATAACGACCATAGAATTTAAGATGTGCTGACTTTAAACGAGGCTGTTGAAATTGCTGTAATATCAACTTATCTTTATGCAGCCTACTTCGGTTTAAAAAATTATCCTTAGAACATGCTCTTGAGAATCGAATAAGATGTTCGACGTCAAAACCATAAGCAGGTGATAGCGGAATATTACTTTATAAAAGAAGGAAAATTGACGATGGAAAAGCTAGGATCATCTCGTTTTTCATAGAATTTAGTTAGTTGACCCTTATCAACTATAGTCACTAATACATCCAAGTATGAAACAAATGTGGTAGACTCTGTGGTGTCTTTTATTTCGAGTTCACTGGGATACACACTGGTGGAGCGGGGGGGGGGGGTCCCCTTTTCCCTTTTTGTGGCCAAACATAAACATAAGAATTATAAATTAAGTTTTACATCTGGGATGTTGCATTGATTTTACCTAGAATATAGCTACAATTAGTCAAAAACAATTCCAAGAAACTTCTATAGCCTGAGAGCTTTTGGGGGCTTCGCCCCAGTGTGCCCACACCCCGATCCCAAACTGCTCGCCCTCACCGTTTTCAAGAATCCTGGATCCGCCACTGATACACCAAGTCGACATATAAATGGAAGAAACTATTGCTTAATTCAAACTACATGTACATTTATGTTGATGCACCGCTGAAGACAAATTTTCTATTTGATTGACAAAATTCATTTTATTGACTTCATATTTAGATCATACTTTTACCTAAATCAGGTATTGAAAATGAAAACAGTCACAGGCTTAAATTCATATTATATGTCATATATGTACCAGCCCGAGTGGCTACACATATCGGCCCAAGAGCTGATATGCGGTCCAAGGGTTGATTTGACATATGTTATGGATTTTAGGATGTAGTATTCTAGTTATCATATATATCTGTGACTGCATATATTTTGTTTGTTTTTTCTCATTTCAAAGTCATCTAAGAATTTAAAATACAACTTAACTTTATTGAAGGTAAATAAAGCAATTTGCAGGTCATTAAAATAAACAAATATTTATTACATGAATTGTGATGCATATATCTATCAATAAAATGAAGTAATTTAATTTTATACAATTACTGACTTTTGATAAGGCCGAGGTTGACCAATAACTGACCAGGCACATGGGCTGGCTCTCGGTGTATAATAATTATTTATTTAAAAAATTATATACGGTAATACTAAAACAACACAAGGGAAGACGCGATTTTGGACCCCTTTCACCTCTGTTTTCAACCTCTGTTTTCATTATATTTTCCCGTATTTTACTGAGTCACCGCCTCCGGTCTGTCAAGTAATGATTCATCTAAGACATAATGCTTGAATTTTCCCCTTGGAGCCTCTTTAATACACATTTCAGACTAATAATTATAATAATAAACGCGCTCTTTAGGTACATGTATCACACCGGTAATCGACCAATGAAAATAAACTTAAAATGAACTGATCAGAAAAGCTCACTTGAGCTTTCAGCTCAGGTGAGCTAAAAAGGCATATTTCAACAAAATATGTCATTTTATGAACTTTCTGTGTGAAAGCACATATTTTTAAAGTTTGAAGTAGGGTTGACATTAATTTATACAGACTTCTATGTAAAATACTTATTGTCTAATAATATGTCATGTTTTACCCTCAAAACTCCAAATTATGACTTTCAAAGTAGGATTATGCATCTGACATGTAGAAAGAAGTTAGAAAATGTTTTTTTTATTTTTTTATTTTAGATGACTTTAAACTCTGTGCACCACCTGACCGCAGTCAATTATAGTGTCTACAGACTTTGCCGTAAAAGTACTTTAGGCTGATTTTTTCAAGAATAGACTTATTCTGGGTTTGCTAATGAGTTTTCAACAAAAGCGACAACTGCGATAAAATGTGAAGAAGTAAAACATGTTTTCACAAAGTGTTCAATTTTACAGAGACTGGATTTACTTTCATTTTATTCACCTTAAGTGATTCATTTATTACTGGAGTGGAGGAATAGAAATAATGAAATGAGTTAAATATGTCTAATAAAAGTAATGCACAAATAAAATTTATTAAGAATTTTTCAAAAATAAGAAGCTTATGACCAAAAAATGCATAAATACTATCAGGGCATGAGAGTGAATACTTATTCTGAGTGCTAACCATGTAGTACACATATAGTACAGAAAGTCACTTAGCACCATGGTATGCCTGTTATGGTTCTCTAGACTTTTCCATGCTTTCGCAGCTGACATTCATGATTTTTCAATTTGCCGGAGAATGTTTTTTGTCATTTTACCACTTTTATGTAGGTGTTGACCCTCTCTTTTAAATTACATGTAAGTCTCAGTCAGGATGCTTATTTTAGCATGATTTGTTAAGCGCATTAATGTACTGAAATATTAATAAATTACAAATTAAAGTGATGAAGAAATTTGACATATTTACACAATCAAAATATCAGAATAACCATAATTCAGCTAATAAAGAGCCCTTTTGTTCTTTTGTCACTTCCTATAAATTTTATCAGCAGTTTTTGTACACCCTCCCACCCCCAAGAATCATGATGGATGGCCTGATATTAGTCTCTTTGTTGCTTTTTTCACATTTAAAAGTGTTAAAACCCATAAAAATGTTTAAGGTTTATATTTTTAAAATTAAATGTTGAATTTTTATGTAAATTTGGTGAAACAAAAAGCTGTAATCTTGAATTAATCATGCAAATTCATCAAACACTTTTGAAATTCCTGAGTAATTCAATGAAAAGAAGATAATTATGCATGTTCAATTGGAATTTCATGGCTAAATTGTGTCTGCAGAGAAAGCCAGTTACATAAATCACAACAATAAATTACATATGAATTGTTTTCCACATTTTCTTATCATCAAAGCAAGTTTAATGGAGTATCAGAGCTGTCCAGAACCTCCCCAGATGCTGATATCATTTGCACTGCCCTGTGTTACAACACAGCTTTTAGATAAACTTCTGCATAGCAGGTTGTAGACAAGTACCTAGGCTTCATTTGGAACATAAATTGACCTGATGCAGATTTTATTATCAGCCTAATATTTAACAATTTCTGTAAATTCTGTCATTCTTAGGAGGGTAAAATGTAATTTTGTTATGTAATAATTGCATAATGGTCTCAGACTTGTGAATTATTATTTGTTTGTTGTGAAGAACAATGCATATACTCTACACGGATACACAATTGGTTGCCAGGCTTAGTCTATTAAGGATGAAATTTTGCTTCAAAATATGCACAAAAAACTTCTGTCAGAGTGCTCTGTGTGTATTCTTGACTGCTCTGGAGTAAGGGAGATAAATGCATCATATCTCCAGCAATAATGGGAATTAGATCCCCAGACTTTAGGATGTTGATGACAGTTATTTAAGAAATATCAGGTGCAAAGATGAAGAAAATCTGACATCTTCAAAGGTCCTTCAAGGTATCACACCGGTAATTGACCAATGAAAATGAACTTAGTCAATTGTAGTTCCATACACAATAAAGAAATTTTTTTTTTTATTATGAGAAATTTTATTTTTTCCCTTATTCTATTTTTACATTTTTGGTATCTGTGCTTAAGATATTTTATGTACTTTGTAAAATATTAAAGGTTTTTGACAGGAACTATTTCTTTCGGGGCATAGGAGGCCACTTCCTGGGTTGCACACAGGATGTTTATAAACACATTGAATACACGTGGTTTTGAGGGTATTCCTGTTTGCGAAGGAAAAAATCAGAAAATGCCGGGTACGTACCCTATTTTTTGGTGTCAGCTGATGTGACTGGTAACGTTTAACACCTCCTGCTAAATATTTTTTCATGAATTCGAATATCTGATTTTTAATGATTTTTTATTCTTTATAGAATTATATAGTGAAAACAATTACCGGTGTGATACCTTGAGGGCAGTTGATGGAGACAGAAAGCGAAAGTAACCTCGGCGTTTTACATTCGAATACGGAATTAAAACGCGTTTTTTTTTTTCCAAATTTATAATTTGCACCTGTTTTAAGTAGTAGAAAAACCCCGAGATTTTCGAATGTGCGAAGAAGGGGTCGATTTTGGCGTCCTCCCTTGTGTTGTTTTAGTATTATCGTATATGATTTTTTAACAGATAATTATTACACGCCGGGAGTTAATCCCTGTGGACCAGGTCCATATAGTCACGAGCCGACCTCAACATAGGTCAAAATTGTTTTATTAAGCAATTGGAAATTTTTACCAGATTTTTGACACTTACGATCTTGTCTCCAACAAATATAAACACGCAAAATATTTGTAGTGTAGTACGACTGTTACCCCAAGAGGGGAATTCTCATATAATCTGCTTCTGGGACAGTTGGGTCGGGATGACTGCCACTTGTAAGTGTCTGTTTAATTTACCAGCAACACATAGAGACAAAGATAACAAAGATTTGATGGATGTTTATTTACAATGAATAAACATGAGAAACTGGTACATCCAGATACATAAAATACTCAAAATAATGAACAAAAATTGGTTTGATTGATATTGAAATTTTGAGGCAGTTTATTTGAGTAGCTTGGGAAATACAGATTTTTTTTAAAAAACTTTATTTAATCTACATAAGAAATGCAAATGGGACTCGAAAATTCCTAATATTTGGATTCACTATGGTGCCTAATGTATAGAAGATAAATTTTGGAGAAAAAATCAGTTTGTTTTTTGGATAGTACCCTCAAAATTGAAACCAAAATTGGCATGACTGTTTAAAACTGAAGAACAATATTATAAAACAATTAATACTGAATCATTTACTAATGAAGGAGTTTTATCTCTTTGGTACCGGCATGTGCCATGTTTATTCACAACGACATATATGGTTTAAACGCGCAATTTGATTGATCGAAAAAATGTTAGGAAATCAATGGTTAATCATGAGGGAAAACCTGAATAAACCTACCGAAATTTCGTTTGATGTCAACCTCAGGAAAGAGAGTCTAGAACACTGGGAGAGAATCAAAATTTCTGATTATTTACTAATTTGCATTTTTGCCCACCAATCTGATACGTGATATAGGTTTTCGGACCAGACTTGAATAGACGTATTTATTACTAAGTATATGATAAATGAAATTTTAAGATGGGTAGGTAATAACTGTGTACACAAGCATAATAAAGATACTGTTCTGAATTTTCTCCTTCGCTGGTCATTGTAGTATTACACTGGTGCTGCAGAGTTTTCTTTTTTGCAAATTCTTTTGATTCCTTTCATAATTGTCCACATTGATGAAAGAATTGAAACGATCTGAAAATATAAACAATACTAGAATCACTTCTACATTTTCACTGCCTCCATTACATTTAATTTTAAAAGAAGGAGATAAATAAATTATGTGGTTTCTCATATAGACAGAAACACTGTAAACAATATTTCTCAATTGTTGCTTATATATATATATATATATATATATATATATATATATATATATGTGTGTGTGTGTGTGTGTGTGTGTGTGTGTGTGTGTGTGTGTGTGTACAGGCAACTCTCGATACCTCGAAGTCCGCGGGACCGAGGAAAAACTTCGAGAGATCAAGAGTTCGAGTTTTCAAGAGTCCATAATTTTCCGGGTTTACCGACAGGTTTTAAAATTAGTCTTACAGGATGTAATGATTTTCATGCAGTGCTAACCTTTTACACGTGGTTTTTATAAAACAACGATATTTTTTCGAAATTCAGATGAATATTTCATTACACTGAGTAAAGCAAAAAACGTATATCGTCATTTCATGTCTATTTATTTACTCTTTGTAATACGGACATCATACTACGCATTCGTTACAGGAAAACAACATTTTTCAGTGTCGTACATAGTTAGTTTATTTAAAACCCAATAGCAGAGAAGATTTTCAAAGAATTAATTTTACTATATAATCAATACAGCCCCGCCCTAACACCTGAACCCCTGACCCAGAGGCCAAGAAATTCATAATTTCTGAAAAGGCAGCCATGTTCACCATAGCTATGTTCTTAAAAAGTTTATTTAATACCTAGGAGCAGAGAAGATTTTCAATGAATTAATGCATTTTCACTATATAATCAATAGAGCCCCGCCCTAAAATAGCTCATCAAAGCTATGTTCTTAGTTAGTTTATTAAATACCAGGAGCAGAGAAAAAGATTTTCAAATAATTAATGCACTTTCACTATATAATCAATATAACCCCGCCCTAACACCGGAACCCTGACCCTGGGGACATGAAATTCACAATTTTGGAAGAGACACTCTTGCTCATCATAACTATGTACTTAGTTTATTTCATACCCAGGAGCAGAGAAGATTTTCAAAGAAATATTGCACTATCACTATATGATCTATTAAGCCCCACCCTAGCCAAGAATCCCTAACTCTGGGGCCATGAATTTCACAATTTTGGTAGAAGGGTCAATGCTTATTACAATCATGCCAGCAGTTTGACTACTTTATGTCCAGGAGTAAAGAAGATTTTTAAAGATTGCATTTATTTTGGTGGTTTTAGCCCCACCCCTCTGGCCCCAGGGGGGCAGGGACCATGAAATTCACAATTTTTGTTTCCCTTCACCCATAGATATTATATGCCAAATTTGGTTGAAATTGGTTGAGCGGTTTCAGAGAAGAAGCTAAAAATGTTGAAATGTTAACGCACATCGCACGACGACAGACAAAAACGGATAGCAATAGTTCACCTGAGTGACTCAGGTGACCTAATAATTAAAGAACTGCGAACGATAGTATTGTTCTCCCGCCTACCTCCAAGTCAATTTTCAAAAGTTAACACATTTGAATAACTATTCATATTTATACAGATATTAATATAAATTTTCATAAAACATTACTCGGTCCTTCGGATGAGACCGTATAAACCGAGGTCCCGTGTCGCAGTAAGTGCTGGCACGAAAAAGATCCCTCACTGCTCAATGGCCCTGAGTGCCGAGTATAGGTCAAAATTTGCAGCTCTCCACCGGCAAGTGGTGGCGTCTCCATACGAGTGAAAAATTCTCGAGAGAGACGTTAAACAATAAAAACAAACAAACATAAAACATTATTACTTCTTTTGGTGAACGAAGAGAGATAACTCTATAATTTTGGTAAAACTTGTGTTTTTCACTATAGAAATCAACGGAAAACGGAAAATATTTTTAAAACATCTCCCCCCCCCTCCCCCCGTGAAAGAAAAATTCCTTTTTACATGTAATATGGCCTGTCATTTCACAAATTCATACCAAAGCTTTCTGGGTTTCACGGGGGGGGGGGAGGGGGGGGGTTGCATGTTTACAGACAAACAAGAGGCCCATGGGCCACATCGCTCACCTGAGCACATTGGCTAAGCAAAAGCACAAATGGGTTCAGTATTAAAAAGATTACGCGGGGGTGAGGTGGAGGAGGAGGGTGGGTGGGGGGAGTTGTATTTTAAACTACCTGATGATGCTTCCATGTCAACATAACAAATGGCTTTGTTGTACTTGAGAAGATTTTAACAACATTTTCCCATATATTCCTTTGTAAAAATTTGATCCCCCATTGTGGCTTCTCCCTATCCCAGGCGTCATCATTTGAACAAACTTGAATCTACACTACCTGAGGGTGCTTCCATATCAAAATGACTGATCATGGCTTTGCAGTTCAGAAGAGTAAATTTTCCCATATATTTCTATGTAAAACTTTGATCCTCCATTGTGGCGCCACCCTACCCCCGGGGGTCATGATTTGAACAAAATAGAATCTACACTACCTGAGGATGCTTCCATATAAATATGACTAATCAGGTCTTTGCTGTTCCTAAAAAGAAGATTTTTCCTATATATTTCTATGTAAAACTTTGATATTCCACTGTGGCCCCGCCCTACCCCCAGGGGTCATGATTTGAACAAACTTGAATCTACACTACCTGAAGATGCTTCCTTATAAATATGACTCATTATGGCTTTGCTGTTCTTGAAAAGAAGATTTTTAAAGATTTTTCCTTTATATTTCTATGTAAAACTTTGATCCTCCACTGTGGCCCCGCCCTACCCCCGGAGGTCATGATTTGAACAAATTTGAATCTACACTACCTGAGGATGCTTCCATATGAGTTTCATCTTTCCTGGCCCTGTGGTTCTTGAGAAGAAGATTTTTAAAAGATGCTATTAATTTTTCACTAATTCTTTATTATCTCCCCTTGAAAAAGGGCGTGGCCCTTCATTTGAACAAATTTGAATCCCCTTTACCCAAGGAAACATTGTGGCAAGTTAGGTTGAAATTGGCCCAGTGGTTCTTGACAAGAAGTCGAAAATGTTAAAAGTTTACAGACAGACAGACAGACGGACGCCGGACAAAAAGTGATCAGAAAAGCTCACTTGAGCCTTCGGCTCAGGTGAGCTAAAAACTACAAAAATGCTTAATTTTTTCACCAATGTCAAAGGAGTTTACAACTAAAACATTATATTTTTTCAATGATAGATGCTTAATTTTATATGCGTAAAACATAAGAAAAGATTTAAGGAACATTTTTTCTCAAGAATATTTTAAAATGTGGTGATGCTTTCAAGCCCGATTTCAATGGAAAATATCGCCTACCCCCCTTATGGGGTAAATAACTATTTAAAACTGGTATTAAAATTATCAGTCAATTACCATTGAACTGTTCTCTGCATTCAATAAAGACTAAATTCAAAACCCATAGTTGGTCTCTATTGCTCTATTTTGATCTTTGAAAAAATGTTAGTAGGGTTGGATGTTGGGGTGTATAGTGGCATTTGCATGAACGTTGTGTATTTTATCCTCTGTCCCTGTCCAGATCCCGAAAATGTCATCAACGTACTTCAGGTAAAAAAGGTTGTTTTGTACATTTTTCAAAAAAGGAATGTGTTTCCCTTCTCCCATATAAATACAGGCGTAGTTCCGTTCAAGATTTGACCCAATAGCAGTGCCTCCAGTATAAATTAAGTACTTGTTCTAAACATTTAAAAACTAATATTATCCAGGACAGCATCCATCATTTCCAATATACAGTTGGTTTCAACTTCCTTTTATTTGGGTTCATTTAAAATCTTTTTATGACCTCTTTTCCCTTTTTTTTTTGGTATACATAGATGCAGTGCTTTAACATCCATACAGAACAAGATGGAATTGGCAATAGTTGATTTATGTTAAAGAGTTTCTTTAAGAAATCAGTTGTATTCTGCATATCTATTAGCGTCTTCAAGCTGCCATTCGACATGCTCAGCTAACTTTTATCACCGGTGTTGACGACCATTTGCTATAGTTCTTAATGGATGGTTCTCTTTATGTATTTTTGGATTAGTTTGTAATTACTTGAAGATATTTCTACTGGTAGAAGGTAGTATCGTAAATCAGACTAGATGGATCTTCTTCCATGCATATTATTGACTAGCTCTTTGATTTTATCTGTTTTCGTTACAGTTTATCCTTTGTCTGCTTGTCTAATGATGATATTTGATCATCATTCAGCACTCTCAGAGCGTTCTCTTCTAAGTTATATATACTTAACGTTACCAAGCAAAACAAAACGGTTCAAATGTTTGTACACCTGAAGACGGATTATTAAATCCAGAGAGCGCTTGTGTTGAATGAAATTAGGGAAAGTGTGCATTTTCTTTTATTATGATTATTTTTACAGTGACCAACTAGGATAATTTTTAAAAGCGTGGCTTTCGATGGTGATGAAATCCCCGATTGATTGATTATTATTGTTTAACGCCGAGTCGGAAATCCTCGACTGCTCTACACTATACGGTCATTGATAATGGAAGTGATAAACAGCTATTTGATTACACTTTTAATCGGAAGATCGTTACCGATTGTACAGATATTATTTTCTAATTTTACAGCTCCATATCTAAAACAGCTGCCCTAAGTGAAGAAATATAGAAAGCATAGAAATTCACAATACATATATATTTTACTTATATTCCCGTGGATGATAATATGATCGTACATACCACAAGAACAGCTGTTGCACCCCCTTCGTAAATAATGTTGCGAATTAATTCTTTCCTTAATTCTTTCAGTCGTTGAAATTTCTCCTGAACCTTTTGAATGCATCCCTATTGGAAATATTTTTCAAAAGATTATTTCTTGTATACACATCATACATGTACCTATCGCCTGCGTGGCGCAGTGGTTAGGGTGTTTGCTCTAGAGTCGTGGTGTAAGGAGTTGATCCTTACTTTGCGGGCTTGAATTCACTGCGGGTCGTGGAGATCGGTCCTTCGGATGAGACCGTACAAACCGAGGTCCCGTGTTGCAGTAGGTGCTGGCACGAAAAAGATCCCCACTCCTATGATCCTGAATGCCGAGTATAGGTTAACTTTTGCAGTCCTCTACTACATGTGGTTGCGTCTCCATATCAATGAAAAATTCTCGACAGGGACGTTAAACAACAAACATATCCTCCCTTGTCACTTATCAGCATTCCTGTCTTAATATTTTCTCTTTTGGAAAATTATATAAAAGAGTTAGGAAAAGCCATTATCCAATTAATTCTAAAAATGACGGAGACGTTTTAGGCAAAGTATTTGTGTGAAATCAATGGCCTTAATTTAAGACATAATTATGCAGATGTACGGAATACAATTGTGGAAGTATATGAAACAAGCTAACTCAAAGAATTTGTGCACCCCCCCCCCCCCCCGCTTAAAATAAAAAAAGAAGAGGGTGGAAGAGCTAAAAAAAAAAAAATTGCAGATGGAGAAAAAAAGGTCCACCTTGACCTTTCAGCTTTTGGCCTTAAAGTCAGAATGAATCTTTTTAAAGTTAAAGAAATTCATGACCAAAAGTTTCATTGCAAAAGCTTATAGAAAAACTAAAATTATTAATTGAAAACTGTATATGCAATGTGTATTTCTGACCTTGACCTTTGGACCTAAATATCAAAACGAGTTTTTGAGGCCACGGGGGAGTTGTGATATAAAATTTCATTGCAAAATCTCAGTCTTATTAAGATATAGTTTGGAAAAAAGTGCTACACTCATGTATGAATTCATGACTTCTGATCTTTTGACCTCAAAATAGATAGGGTTCTTCTTTCTGCAATAGGGAGTTGTTATATAAAATTTCATCGAAGAGAGCTCAAAGAAAACTAGTTTTCATCTGGAAAATATTATTTGCAATGTATGACTTTCGAATTTTTAACCTCAAAATAAAACGGGCTCTTTTATTGGCAAAAGGGAGTTGTGATATATAATTTGATTGAAAAAGCTCAAAGACTTTTAAGATATCATCCGGAAACTAAATTATTACACACAAACAGAATATATGAATTTTTACCTTGACCCTGACCTTTTAACCTCAACATCAATAGGGGTCTTCTTTATGTCATAGGGAGTTTTATATTGAACTTTACTGAGTAAAGCTCAAAGAAATCTCAAAGAAAACTAAAGTTATCATCTGGAAAAAGTTATTAGTAAGACTTTTTGACTTTGACCTTGTGACCTCAAAATCAAAAGAGATCTTTTAGGTTACATGTATATGAAGTTTTGATAAAAAATATATCAAAAAAATCAAAGACATAGATATTGCCCGGAAACAAAGTGTTACACACGAACAGAATGTATGAATTTATGACCTAGACCACTGACCTTTTGACCTCAAAACCAATAGAAGTCTTCTTTATGTCACAGGGAGCTTTATCGAAGAAAGCGCAAAAAAAACTTAGTTGTCATCTGGGAAATGTTATTTGTAATGTCTGAATTTTTACCTTGACCTTTGACCTCAAAATAAAAAAAAAGTTTTCTTTAGGCCATAAGAAGTTCTGATATGAAATTTCATTGCAAAAGCTCAAAGACTTCTAAAGATATATATTGCCAGGAAACAAAAGTGTTACAAACAAAATATTTATGACCAGACCTTGACTTTGACCTTTAAATCAATAGTTTTTTTGACCAAAGTTAGTTTTAGATAATATTTCATCGCAAAAGCTCAAAGGCTTCTTAAGATATCGTCTTTGTTATACACAGACAGAATGTATGAAATTATGATCGTGATCTTTAATTGACCTCAAAATCAATAGGGGTCTTTAGACCAAAGGGTGTTGTTACATTAAATTTCATTGCAAGGCTTCTTGAGATATCGCCCGGAAACAAGTGTACACACAAATAGAATGCATGGAATTATGACCTTGACCTTTGACCTCACAATCAATGAGGGTCTTCTTTAGGCCATAGGGAGATATGATATAAAATTTCATTTCATAAGCTTCTTGAGATATCGTTTGGAAACGAAAGTGGTACAAACAGACAGAATGTATGAAATATTACCTTGACCTTTGGACCTCAAAATCAATAGGGATCTTCTTCAGGTCATAGGAAGTTGTTATAAAATTTCATTGCAAAGGCTTCTTGATGTATCGTCAGAAAACGAAAGTGTTACACATAGACAGACATGCAGACAGATAAACGGACGGACAGACACACCCATATTAATATCCCCTACTTTCAATGATTGTATGTTGTTTAACGTCCCTTTCGAGAATTTTTCACTCATATGGAGACGCCATCACTTGCCGGTGGAGAGCTGCAAATTCTGTTCTATACTCGGCACTTACGGCCATTGAGCAGTGAAGGATCTTTTTCTTGCCAGCACCTACTGCGACACGGGACCTCGGTTTATACGGTTTCATCCGAAGGGCCGGTCTCCACGTGGGATCAATTTCAATGAAAACAGGTGACAAAAAGCAAACCAGAAAAAAAGCAAAATTTCTCTGTATTCGTGGTCAAATGTAATTGAAATTTCATTAAAATATTTATATACTTGCAATATGTTCTTAGTAATTATAAAAACATGTATTACCTAGTATTGTTTAGGTAGAACAGAAATGATATACAGTAATATTGTAAATACTGAAATAACTAACAACATTTGAGATAAATCTAACCTTAGTTAATTGTTTTCATATTGTACATTGTTCTGATGTCGCGTGGCGCAGGGGTTGAGCGTCTGCTCTAGAGTCGCGGAGTAAGGAGTTGATCCTTACGTCGGGGGTTCGAATCCCACTGTGGAACGTAGCTGCAGAACTGTAGCTCTCTGCTTGAGAAAATTCGGACAGACAAAGCAGAGAGCTACAGATCCAAGCGTCGTAAAAACCTTCGATTTACGCCGCCGATTTTTTGTCGCTCGCTTCGGCTATTATGTCTTGTATTTAATGCTTTCCCATGCTTTAAAAGTGGTATCCAATAATTATCCATATATTTTACTCCTATTCCTGATACTTTATTTACCTTTCAACGGTTTCAAACAGCCCTTTATGGTTTTGAAATGTCGGTTTAAAAAATTCCCATTCCGATGTCCATGTTATTGGGGGTTGTGCGAAAAGAAGTAATTCAAAGAATATATACTTGTCAAGAAAATGTAAATAAAAATTTCAGGAAGTTTAAATATTATGTATATTGTCTATGAAGATTAGAATACAACATGTATTAGAATACAATATGTAAAAAAGAAATAAATAAAACTCGGGCGTGTTGTTTCAGGAGGACACCAACGTCGACGTCGGAATGCATTTTTTAAACTGATATTACGGCCGTCTGGAACTGTTGAAAAGTATTAAGTAAATAAAGTGTCAGGAGTAGGAGTAAAATGTATGGATAATTATTGGATACCACTTTTAAAGCAGGGGAAAGCATTAAATACATATAATAACCCAAAGCGAGCGACAAAAAAGCGGCGGCGTAAATCGAAGGTTATTACGACGCTTGGATCTGCAGCTCTCTGCTTTGTCTGTCCGAATTTTCTCAAGCAGAGAGCTACAGTTTTGCAGCTATGTGGAACGTGGAGACCGGTCCTTCGGATGAGACCGTATAAACCGAAGTCCCGTGTCGCAGAGATGTTGGAACGAAAAAGATCCCTCATTGCTCAATGGCCCCGAGTGCCGAGTATAGGTCAAATTTTGCAGCTTTCCACCGGCAAGATTTGGTGTCTCCATATCAGTGAAAAATTCTCGAGAGGGACAAAAAAAAATCATTGTTCTGATAATCTTACTCATAATATTTCAACAAGAAAATAATGCATATTCGAAATACCTTAAGCTGAATAGCAATTAAGTTACCAGTGTAAATTATTGTCATAAAATATTAAGTAAGTTTCCTTACCATTTCATAATATGAATCACTACTAACAGATGCATGGCAATTACTTCTTGCTGAATCATAGTCTTCTATCGTGGAGTATTTACAGCATGTCTTTGGAATCTGAGAATTGGTCTGTTGACAGGATCCTGATGTAGTACACCACGGAGTAGTATCAAAGTCGTTTGTTGTACCAGACACAATGTCAACTCCACAACATTGATGCTAAATGTAAACAAAAAATGATTTCTTTTTTTTTTAAAGAGAATGCTGGAGTCAAATTAAATATATCTAAATGCATATCAGTGTTTTAGCCACTAAATTTGGACTGAAGCCATATATATATATATATATATATATATATATATATATATATATATATATATATATATATTATATATATATATATATATATATATATATAAGGGATGTCAACGAGTACCCGGTTAACCGGGTACTCGATCGGACGTCCGAGTATCGAATACTAAAATGGTATTCGGTTACTCGGAATTGAATTTTTTTTTTTTTATTTCAATATACATATTTTTCTCAAAAATAATCAAAAAATAACTTAAAACTGCATACGGTCATGTACACCTGTAAATCACCCGTTACCGCCTGTGTTTATATACGGTAATTAGTAATCGCTGTGGTCTGTAATTTTTGGATGGCTTCAATGATTGCTTTCAGTGATCATCGATTAAGTATGGTCTATTATCTTCAAATCATTTTTAAATTTATTTAGTTAATATATGGCAGCTAAATCGGACATGCATAGAAATGCCGCTACCCACTTCAAAAGCGAAGAAATATTTAGAAATAATTAAAGATTCAAAAAAATGTTGAAAGTCAGATTGTTTAGTAAGTTTATACGGGGGAAACAATCAACTTAGACTAGCGATCCCAACAACGTCCGTTCCTTCCCTTTCGCTAGTCTAATCATCACAAACCTGCGTAAAAGATTGTTCTCCTTTTGCGTTCCTAAACAAGAACTATAAACCATTTGTAATTTTTGATGTATTTATTGTGTCTTTTGGGATTAATTGATAAAAAAATTTAGTACCAAAAATCAATCCCATTGGACCCGATGTTTATATGTATACATTTATTAACGTGATAAAAACAGCTTTGGGTTTAACAGAGCTTAACGTGGCTCAAAAAAATTAACACACTTGTATTTACAGTTTTACATGTACCGAGTACCCGGGTACGCGATCGGAAAAACGTCCAAGTAACCGATTATGAAAATTGACCAATTTTACATCCCTAATATATATATATATATATATATATATATATATATATATATATATATAAAGGAACTTGATGAATTTTTTTCAAGGAAAAATGTCAAATATGTCTTTTACTCAAAAAGTTAAGTTTTGCTTTAATGGCCTTTGTCCAGAAATACTGAAAATAACACACTCATTTATTAAAACATGTCTTATACCTAGAAATGATTGCATTACATAATTATTATACAAATGGTGGTATGATTTATAATGTATAGCCTCACATTCTATACTAGAATATTGTTTATTTGTGTATGAACAATTGATGATTCTTAAAATGTGTTGTGCCTTTGCCAATTATTGTAATTGTGTTTATTGTGTTTGCGCCCATAAATATTTGTATATATATATATATATATATATATATATATATATATATATATATATATAGTTCATTCAAGATATCGGTGAATAGATAAAAAACGAAAGGGACAGGACAACATTTTGAAAGGTTAAATTCTCTCCGACATAAAAACTTGGTTAGAATTTGTGAATTACGAAACATACTAACTTTGCCTAGTCTTTTATGTTTTGTTACTAATAATAGTGAACACTAGAATTCACCAAGAATCTTGTGAGGATATATTAATTTTGCTCATACTGATCAACACCTAGCTGGTTGATTTATTGATTGTTGTTTTACATGTACGTCCCATTCGAGAATTTTTCACTCATATAGAGACGTCACCATATACCGGTGAAGGGCTTCAAATTTTGAACTTTTCTCGGCACTCAGAGCCATTGTGCAGTGAGGGATTTTTATCGTGCCAACACCTGCCGTGACACGGGGCCTCGGTTTTTAAGGTCTCATCCGAAGGACCCGCAACTTTCACTTTAAAGTGCCGAGCGCATGGCGAAGGAACAGTTGCTATCCATCTTTTATCGACTTAGGTCAGTCGCGGCCGAGATTCGGACTCACGACCTCTCGATCACGGAGCGAGCGCTCTACCGACTGAGTTACCGTGAACGGTTTGAGCTGGTTGAAATAAATTATAAATTAAATTGCCACGCTTCACTGCATAGTAAAATGCTCTACCTAATATAATCATGTGTATGTAAATCTTGCTATTGCTTGTAAAATATTTCGCATTCACTTCATTAACAGCTTTATAGAGGGTTCGCAAAAAGACCCAAAATAGTGCATTAAGTCCACTCATCCACTTTCAAAGGTTTTTTTTCCCCACAATGGTACTCCTCCCACAGTTTTGGTCCGATTTCTGTATAAGTAAACTACGGCGCACTAAGATACTATAATACTAAATATTGGTTTTGATTAACGGTGTTGCCATGGTTATTAAAAATGGAATTTTCTCTGACATTCTTTCAAGCTACCTTTCCTACCGTGTTGATATGATTCCAATAAAACTTTTGACACATGTAAATTATACTCAAACACAGAGCTCTGTATACACGTATCAGTTTCTGAATTGAATGATTGGCATTGCCATGGTCATTAAAAATAGAAATTTCAAAGATCCCCCCCTTCTACAGTTTTAATCCGATTTCAATAAAACTTGGTCCAAAAGTAAATTACACTAAGATAAATGATATTGTTTATCGGTTTTTAACTCTAACAAATGGTTTTGCCATGGATATATACTAAGAATGATAATTTCTTACTGAAACTCTTACAAAAGACTACTCCTACTACAGTCTTTTTCCAAATGCAAATTTTACACTAAAAGAGACTAAATTAAGGATCGTTATTTTATTTATACTGTTGTCATAGTTTAGTCTAAGTGCCACTTTTCACTACCTTTGTTGGGTAAAAACCAGAAGAGCTACAGACTCGCTAGAGACTTATTTCGCTAGAGACTTCAGACTGAGTAATTACCATCGAAAAATTGATGAAAGGGAGATAACTTCCGACCAAAATTTTCAAAGATGTAAAAATATGACGGATTATATCAGGATACCCCATCCCTGAAAATTACAAATAAATCAATCCAACCATCTTTGAGAAATGGTCTGCAAAAGATTTGTAAAAATTAAAGTGAAAAAGAATAAAATATGGGTCTTCCATTTGAGATGAAGATATTATAATGCCGTACTAATTTAATACACAAGTAGACTTTACCAAGATGCATGTTTTTTTTAACATGGTTGCCATGATTACTAAAAATAAAATGATTATTCTCTATAAGGCCGTTTTGCAGCCTTCAGTGACTTCAAAAAGTATTGTTTCCCTTAAAAACTGCATGAATCGGTATGCTAATGTTCCATTTTGATGAGTAATGTTGATTGGTTAATGATACAATAGTATTTGTTATGATATAGGGTGACAAAGTAAAGTACTATCGGTCCGTATTAGCATAAGAGTAATGGGAAAACTCAAGAGGTTGGGTGTGTTAAGTAACTCCTATATGCCTCCAATATGCCCAGGAGCAGAGAAGATTTTCAAAGAAAAAATGCATTTTTACTATTTAACACAGCCCTACCCTAACGCCAGAACCCATGTCCCAGAGTCATGAAATATACAAATTTGGAAGAGGTACCCTCATCATCATAACTATGCAATTAGTTGAAGATTTTCAAAGAATTCACACATTTTCACTATATTATCAATAGACCCCCCCCCCTCTCAGAGAAACAACAGAACCCCTTGGACCATAAGTTTTAAAAATTTTGTAAAAACATCCTTGCCCATCATAACTAAACACTTGTTTCTTTGCTTTATAACAAGGAGTAGAAAAAAATATTTTGAAAGAAATTATGATTTGATTTTTCACTATATAATCAGTAGAGCCCCCATCTCTTTCACCAGAACCCCTGACCCTGGGGCCATGAATTTCACAATTTTGGAAGAGGCATTCTTGCTTATTATAACCATGCACTTCCTTTGTTTAAATAATACCCAGGAACAGAGAAGATTTTCAAAGAATTGATGCATTTTCACTATAGAATTAATAGAGCCCCGCCCTAACACCAGTACCCCGATCCAGGGGCCATGAAATTCACAATTTCTGCATGAAGAGGCACTTTTGTTCATCATAACTATGTTCTTAGTTATTTTCTTTAATACCCATGAGCAGAAAAGAAGATTTTCAAAGAAATAATGCATTTTTACTAAATTATAAATAGAGAACCTCCCCCCTTTCACCAGAACCCCTGACCCAGGGGCCATGAAATTCATAATTTTGGAAGAGACACTCTTGCTCATCATAACTATATACTTAGTTATTTTATTTAATACTCAGGAGCAGAGAAGAAGATTTTCAAAGAATTAATGCATTTTCACTATATAATCAATAGAGCCCCGCCCTAACACCAGAACCCCTGACCAAGGGGCCATGAAATTCATAATTTTTGGATGAGGCACTCTTGCTCATCATAACTATGTACTTAGTTAGTTTATTTAATACCTAGGAGCAGAGAAGAAGATTTTCAAAGAAGTAATGCACTTTTGCTATATGATCTATATAGCCCCACCCTAGCCCCAGAACCCCTAACCCTGGGGCCATGAATTTTATGGAGGGTAATGGTGTTCAAAAATCCAGACATTAAGTTTGTAAATCCATACTTGTAATCGTATTAGTTTCATAGTCTACACATGTAAGTAGTTAATTCCGACATCCCAGCATGTAGTTCCGAAGACTTTGTTTTTGTTTGTTTTTTGTTTAACTTCCCTCTCGAGAATTTTTCACTCTTATGGAAACGCCACCACTTGCCGGTGGAGAGCTACAAATTTTGACCTATACTTGGCACTTAGGGCCATTGAGCAGTGAGGGATCTTTTTCTTGCCAGCACCTACTGCGACAAGGGACCTCGGTTTATACGGTATCATCCGAAGGACCGGTCTCCACGTCCCACAGTGGGATTCGAACCCGCGACGTAAGGATCAACTCTTTACTTCGCGACCCAAGAGCGAACGCTCTTACCACTGCGCCATGCGGGTGACGTGTTGACTTTGAGTTTTTACTATGAATATGTGTA